TTCATGCATATTCCCATAAGCAAACTAGATAAAACTCTAGTTCTGCTGCATCTTACCCATGTAGTAAAATCCAGCACTTGCAAGCTGCTCAGGCTGAACAGGAACACTAGACGGCCAGTACAAAAACGTCCTCATTCGAGCAGAGTGTGTCTGCATACTCAGATTTGATATACTAAACCTCTGTGTTTCTGAAGAATTTTCCAGAAATGGGCAGCTGGGGAAATGTCTCCGATGCTCTGACATAGCATCATCCTTCGGTTCCCAGTTGCTCAGTTTCCCACCACAGGCAAAGCAGGCCACCCTGTCTCCAGGCCCTATGTAATAGAAGCCGGCTCTGGCCAGGTCGGCCGGTGACAGAAAGGACAATGGCCACGTACTGTAAGTAAGAAGTCTGGCCTCTTCAGTAGTCATGGCATGGCTGCAGGGACTCATCCTCGATGGGGAGTCTTCCACTGCTCTAGAACGGAGAGGGTTTGAGGACAAGCTGGAGTAAGGACCACCGCATTCCGGAGGAGGTAACGACTGTGCAAACCCACTCCTCACAGGAGCTGTGCTCTTAGTCGGGGACGGCAGACTAGCTGAAAGCAGAGTGTGGACGAAGCTGCAGCTGGGGTACAGCTGCCTGTGCTTTTCAACAGGGCTGTCCCCTTGTTTCCAGTTGTCCAGCATCAGGCCACAGCAGAAGCACTTGACCTTGTCGTTGACGCCCGTGTAGTAAAAGCCAGCACGAGCCAGACTCCGTTCTGAGACAGGAACTCCAGCGGGGAAAGCTGAGTATGTGGACATTCTGTACAGCTCACATGAAAAGTCGTACTTCATTTTTTCTTTGCTCTCTCTCGTCCAATTTGGCAAGGTTGTGCTATTTTCCATTATACTTTTGGGTTTTTTTTGGTGTAAGGTACCTTGAACAACTCTCTGGGAGACAATTTTGTGCATGAGTAGTGACGGTATTTCTGACAGCTTAAACTGCCCTGTGAAGCGTCTCACCACTTCCCACTAAGCTCTCTACCACAGACAGAAATGGAATAGCAGGCTAACTAGGTAGAATTCACTCTGATTGGATTTATATAAGTTCACTGTCACATAGGACAAATCTGTCTCCTTTTCCAAGATACTACACTACTCAGGACTCTGGGACAGTATTAACTCTTTTGGGTAACCCAAGAGCTATTTACCCATAATTTACTTTCATGAAAAGTTATGAACTCTAGATACTAAGTCAATTGCTGACTATATTGGAAAAATTATATGCACGCTTTTTTCCCTTATAAGGACTTTAATACAACATCCAAACTACTCTATTCGTCTACCAAATACAAGTAACTAAACTCTCCACATGGCCACATTTCCTAAAAGCTAACTTCATATAGCTCATCATCATAGTATTTTCTAAGGTGGGTTATACTGATCTCAGTTACCTTCTGAGGAAGTTAACACACAGCCCTATTAAGACTACAGACAGTATGTGTGGTGAATGATCTTTGCTTAAAGCTTAGACTGTTATTCTTCTTACCCGTTAAATCTTATACGTCACTACCTCAAGCCTTCCTGTGTCTATCATTTTAAGACATCTGGTCAACAGACAGCAAGCTTAACTAGACTGCATTTTAAAAAGTCCACCTGTACTTCTTTTAAGTCTGCTAGAATTAAGGATGAATCAAGTTATCAAGACATAGCCTTCTGTTATCACAAGTATCTAATAACCCTGTTTTACCACAGCATTCCTGTTGCACAATGTACCACACTTACTAGCATTCTTTTTGAGAACTCAGTATTTTATATAACTATTCATACACAAAAGTACACTCCACAGAATTCAAACTGGGTTTTTTATAAAATTTTTCAGATTTCTATGACTGGGTTTATTTCTAGTGAAACATGGGAGGAAATGAAGACTCTCAGTGATATAAGTCTGAAAGGAAAAAAAGATATTTTAGAAAACTAATTGCATAGCAATTATAGCCTCTTCAATTTACTCAGTAGTATTTAAAAATGTCTCATTCTAGATAATGCATCCTAACTACAGCAGTTTCTCACACAACCAGTCTACTTAGAAAAGGTTGAAATCAAAATACATGCTTGCAAAAGACTTCCTAGAGCACTAATTATGCTTGTCTTTAAAATGCACAGCTTTATACATTTTATAAAGCAAAACTTTGAAGACAGATGGACATTTCCACCCAGGAAGAAAAACTGGTCCCCAATTTGTTGATTTTATTTATTGTTTATTTACTGTTACACAAAATGTATCATACTTCATGGGCATCTTTTTTATTTTTTGCAGGGACATGGTCTCATTCTGTAGCCTAGGCTGGCTAGGAAGTCAATGTAAAACAAGCTAGTTTTAAATCTTGTTAGAAATCTCCTGTCTTAGCATCCCAAGTGCTAGGACCACACTACTATCAGGCTCCTTTCATTTCCTGATTTACTATTTTGATAGGCACTTCATTGGAGACAAAAGGCACCTGTGGGTAATGGAAAGACAGTCTGCAGGGCTGCTAGTGTAGCTCCGTGTTCGAGCTTTTGCCTTGAAGGTAAAGGATCTGGGTTTAATCACCAGCAATTACAAAAAAAAAAAAAAAAAAAAAGGAGGAGGAGGAGGAAAGCAGCTGAACAGAAAATTCCTGAGGCCTGCTTGCAATGTCAATCTCAACACTTGGAAGAAAAGGCAGGATGAGATGCTCCACCAGTCAGAGCACTTATCTAGTCAAGGCTGAGTTGGCCTAGATGAAAGTATCTGGTTGTCATCAACGCATTCCGTTAAGGACAACCATTCCCTAACAATTCCAAAGCAACCATCGCAGAAAGCATCTCAAAGCAAAAGGTACAATAGCTTGTAAAGCACTGGCTCTCTATGGACACTGAAGGGGAGAGACACCTGGGTCAGAAAGACAAAATACATGTTACCCCCATTAAACCACGGAGTTATTTCTCGCATCACTACAGAGCACAACTTGAGAACCGAGATCTCCCAGCCGCACAACTGTCTCCGTTTAAAGGCAGTAAAAAAATGCCTCGGGTAAGTTTAAAACCCTGCGAGGTGGGCGTGGTGGTGGTGCATGCCAGTAATCCTAGCACCTGGGAGACTGAGGCAGGAGGATGCCGCAAGTTGGAGGCCAGCCTGGACTGGCTCAAAAAAATAAATAAACCGAAGGGAAAAGAAAGCAAAACTGGAAAGCAACTCCAAGGACTGGGGGAGCGAGCGGTGGTCCGGCGGCCTTGAGAACAGAGGGGTTCTTACAACACCGGCTGCACTGGCTTCGGGGAGCCGAAGGCGGCCCGCTCGCCCCGCCAGGCCGGAGGGAGCCGCACTCACCGCGGAGCCGGAGGACTCGGGCCTCCCGCGCCCGGGAAGCGGCAGCAACGGGACTGTTCAGCCGCAGCCTTCCCGAAAGCCCCCGGGGCCAGCGGGACGTCGAGGACGCGCGTTGACGTCAGCACGGCGCGCCTCCACTGCGATGGAAGGAGGGGCTAAATTAATGCGCGCAGCTGCGCCTGCGTGTTCGGGTTTTGGAAGCCGAACATCCGGGCCTCGCTGCCCGGGACCGGAACAAGGCTGGGCCTTCACGAACGCCCTTCCGGGCGAGCTGGCGCCCTGCCTCCGCTAGGTTCTTCGGGCTTTGCTTTCTTGTGGTTTACCTTGCGGTTGCACCTTTAGGGGGGCTCGGGAAACCTGTGGGAAAGCCCGGGAAGGCGCTTTTCCCACCTCACCCCGCCAGGGTCCTAGAGACGGCGCTATGGCGAACGCGGCTTCGTAGCGAAGGCGGCTGACAGACAAGGGAGCTGGCCTCGGAACGCCCGAGTCAAGCGGACTACACTCGGGTGCATGAACATAAATATAACGGGTTTTTTCGTAAGATAGGCCTTTTCATTGATAAGTGGGCTTCTCTGGCAGGCCCGCGCGGTGGCGCGCACCTTGGATCCCAGGAGTTCAAACCCAGCCGTGGCTCGCACACCGAGGCTTCCTGAGACCCTTTGGGCGGGGAGGCAGTTATGCATATTTTTTTTAATAAACGCAGCAGGCCCCAAACAAAAAGATAAGGAGAAAGCAGGGGACTGCTTGGGAGGAAGGTATAGTAGGAGAGTTAATGGTATAATAGGGGAGCGTATGGTCAAAGTGCATTATATATGTGATGAAATTGTAGAAGAATAAATTTAAAAATGGGAAATTAAAACCTGGGTTCTTTGCTCACGGGCATTCTGTCTCCTCACCCCCACCCTCCGCTGCCCCTCCCACACAAAGCGCTAGCACACTGGGAATCTGCACTCGTCTGTTTGGATGTTTTGTTTTTGTTATTTGGTTGTTTGGGGTTTGCTTTTGCAGTTTTTTGTTTTGTTTTGAGAAAAGATTTTACTGCACGGCTCAGGCTGACCTAGGATCTAGAATCCTACCTCAGCCTCCTGCATGCTGGGATTAGAAGCATGCCACTAAGAGGGGGGTTTCTAGGGTTTAATTTACGTTGGGCTAGAAGGTCTTAACCAATGAAATCAAATCTCTCAGGGGAACTCCAGGGGGCAAACATTTCAAAAATTTAGAAATAACAGGCCACTAGGTTAGGCAGCCAGGGGAATTCCGGACCCTAAACCGTTTCCCATTTCCTTTCCCCATCATTTCTGCCTGCCAGTCATCAGTCACAGAACAAGGCAGTCTTCTGTCCCAATGTTGATAGTAAAAAGAAAGTATTTGTCACAGTTTGTGATACAGAGAAAAGACGTGTCGTGGTTACCAGTGACTAACTTCCAAAAGTACACACGGATGCCAGTCACTACTTCTCGGAAAGTTACAAAAAAACATTCCTAATATTTGTGGGACTCCAGCAAGAATTGTGCACATTGAATTCAAGAGTATCTACTTTTCAGTTCTTGTCGTGACCAAAACATGAAATAGTGAATCTACTTCAGTATATAGGCAATTCAGAAGCTTCAGAACTTACTACTTTTTTTAATATTGTATAATCTTGGAGCCCACTCATTTATTTTGTTGACCATTTATTCAACTAAAACTTTCAATGTTGAGGTAGTTATGACATTTCATCTTTATATACAAAAAATATACGATTCAAGATATTTTTGAAGAAAAATTAAGATTGAAAAGATTTCTGCAACGTAAGTTGTATAATAAAACCAGGGGCTGGAGAGATAGTAGTTAAGAACACTACTGCTGCGGAGGACCCTGGTTCGTTTCCTAAAATCCACATCATGGAGTTCCAAAGAATTCGACGCCCTCTTCTGGCCTCCGTGGGTATTGCATACAAGTGATGCACTGCCCAAACATACAGGCAAATCACACATAAAATAAAACATATAAATAAAGAAAAAAGTAAAATTTCAAGTTCTTAGTAGCATGCCTTTCTCCACTTGCTAAATTGCAGACCACTCAGTATTGCACATAGCGACGAACGTTATAGGTGCTGGTGATACACGGCATAAGTACACCATAATATATTCAACTTTAACGATTTGATTCAAAAGCAGTTAAGAGCCAGGAATAGTGGCTCAGGCCGAGGATCGCTGCGAGATTAAGGCTAGCCTGGACTACACAGTGAGTTCCAAGCTAGCTTTGTTCCTTTCGTCTCTGCAGCTACAGTAGTAAGATTAGGTACCGCCAGGGGCGTGTGTGCAAGAGTCAGGAATAGTAGGTCCCTGAACCACAAAAGAGCGTCCCAGCCAGTGGGCCGGCCACAGGGTGTTACAGTGATGATAGAGGGAAGGCACAGCCAGCCGCCAGCCTTCATGACCACCACGGTCCACTCTGCCCGCCATCAGTAACCATGCACACTGCAGGTATCAGAGCCATCCAGGAAAGACAGGCCTGTTACTGAGGAGGAGATGAGTGGGGACGGCCAGGAGAACTTGAGCCCAAAAGAAGTAGAGCCAAGACCTGACCTTTTTCTTTATTTTCGGGATGGGTTTCTCTGTGTAACAGCCCTGGCTGTCCTTGGAACTCACTTTGTAGACCAGGTTGGCCTTGAACTCACAGAGATCTGTTTACCTATGCCTCCCGAGTGCTGGGATTCTAGGTGTTGGACACCACATCCTGTGACCTTTTCTTTACCAAAAGAAAAGTCAAAGTTTCCTCTAGCCAAAGAGAAAAAGTATTACCATAGATCTGGCTCAAGGACCATGCAAAATTCAAAAGATTGCCCATGTTAAAAATTGGGTTATTTCTAAGCTGAGGGTGTGTGGTATAGCATTTGAGACAGTAAGTTGAAATCTCAGCATTACAAGGAAAATACTAGAATGAGTTCTCTAAAGAAAAGAAATATTGTAAATTCAGCTATTTTCCCACTGACAGGCATTTGGGTGGTCTGCAACCTTCCACAAACACTATTGTAATTAGCAGTTTTGGATAAATGTCTTGTTTTATAATACTTTGCTAGGAATGGGTTGTTGATAGCTTCTCGTGTAAACCATATGTAATTTTGCTGGACACATCCACATGAGGGAATATTGGCAATTGTAACCCAAGAAATGAGACAGGGTGTATCTTTGTGCCTAGAGTCACGGCCCATGAGCATCAGCAATCCTGTCTTCTGGTCCACATCACTGGAGCAACACGTCACACAGGCACTGTGCAGCCATGCCCAGCTGTTTGCTAAGGTGCTAGGGATTTGAACTCAGCTCCTCAAGCTTGTGCAGCAAACCCTCTTAGCTGCTGAGCCATTTCTCCATCCTGAATGTGGCTTCTTCAGAGAGAGTAAAGACTGCAAGAGAGGGCAGGGAAGATGGGAGGGAATGATTCAGAACAAAGCATAATGACACACATGGATGGAAAAGAAGCAACCCTCCACTGTATATGGGGTTATGTCTCTTGCCAAAAATTTCCAAACTGCCTACAAATAGACTAGAACACCTCTTCCAAGAAATTCATGGCAAGATTGTGAACCCTGTTGTGATGGCGAATCTTCAGGGCCAAACAGGCATGGCTGTGTGTGTAGACGGACGTTCCAAGGAGTACATTAGCACCCTGGGACTCCACTGGCTCGAGCCCTGCATGCACTGCTGCTAGGTGAACAGTGGACCTCGCCACCTGTGGGCAACCTAGGTACCCACTCTCAAGTCAGGCTCCCGTGTACCTGCTTAAAACAACTGAAACGAGTTACTTCCCTTAGCAACCTCTTGATAGTGCTCCACTTCTATTCAGATATGTCCCAAGACACATCATGAAAACAAGAGAGATGAGCCACTCGGCCTAGAGGGGATTTGGGTCCATGCCCAGTAAGGCATACTGTATCCTTTGAGTGAACTTTTAGGGGAAATCCCCTATTTATTATCTTATGTTGGGTGTTCATTGGATTAAAATCAGATGCATCACAGGAAGGGACCTGTGCAGTGAGCAAAGGCTTCCATAGTCCAGTCCTAACAGGGAGCCCTCACCATGGCCCTTTGCAATCGAGCTCTGCTCTTGAACCCCACAACGCCCCAGACGAGCCTTGCTTGCTCAGTCACCACTGTCACCCTGACGCCGTTTCCTTCTGACCTGCCGTCTTGCTTTACTTTGAATAAAATATTCCAGCTACTTTGCAATCGGTGTGCAATTTATTTCATTCTCAATAAGATACCAAAGACTGCAAATTCCCAACCCGGACCCAGACCACCAGTCACCCTTTCAAGCTCTTCGGTCCAGACTCTCCATCTTGCTGTTGTGCAGTGCTCTTAGACAAGAAAGACCCTGCTCTGGCTTCATTCTGAAACTTCTCCCATCAGCTTTCTGTCAGAGCTGTGGCTCCACGCTGCTTCTCAAAGGCTTCCCCTGTGAGGACTTCCTGTTTGCCATGCTGTCTACCCACGGGGTCCAAATAAGGCTCCGTGCAAACTCTGCCACTGGGACAAAACAGTGACTGAGACTAACCTGGAGAAGAAAAGGCTTATTTTGTTCACAGGTTACCGACCGTTACTGAGGGAAGCCCACACAGGAACCTGGAGACGGGAACTGAAGCAGAGGCCGCGGAGGAACACTGCTTACTGACTTGCTTCCCAGATTTGCTCAACGAGCTTTCTTATACCATCCAGGACCTCGTGCCTAAAGATAGCACCACCACTGTGGGCTGGGCCAGTACCACACTAATTAGCAACTAAGAAAATGCTCCAGATATCCCCACAGGCAAATCTGATGGAGGCCACTCTTCCATTGAGAATCCATCTTCCCAGGTGTGTCCACTCGACAACTGAAGCTATAACGCTGGCCTGTGAGCACATACTTACTTTGATTAGCTCCCAAATCTTTGAACTCAAGGGTGGCCTTCAGGTAAGAGCTTGCCCACTCTGTCATTTCTCTCTTGAGTAAACTGTCACCAAGTTCCCTTTTACATCTATTTCAAGATTTCTCTATGTATGGCAACAACCTGAAAACTGTGAAAGGGACTCTGGGTCCCTTCCCCCATGCATGGCAAACTCATGTATGACTGGGGAAACATCATTGCAAGAAATATCAGTGGCAAACACAAAACCAAACACACCTTCTCATTCTGTACACATTTCCAGTCACCGAAGCATTGAGCTAGTTCCCAGAGACGGCATGTCATGCTGCCACACCTGACTTTATGGGGCTCTGGGGATCTGAACACGGTTCTCTGATTACACCATCTCCTCATCCCCATCATATAAGAATTCTTTAAATGGTATGGCAGGAATCTGGGTGCGACTAAACTGCCAGTATCATATAAATAAATAAATAAATAACAAGAGTAACTTTGTTGCTTTATTAATTTTTCCTTACAACTTCTTTATAAAAATTCTATATCCCTAAAATGTCATTCAATAAATAAGAGGTGTTTCCATGCATAAGACACTTAGAAAAGAAGTGGAAAATCTGTGTTTCCAGTTCTTAAAGCAACTGGAAAAGATTTCAAATTCTGAACCATAAATGCCAACATCGTAAATCTTCTCTGAGAATTTCAGGAATGCAGGCAACCCCCACTTTTCTCTCGGCATCTGCACACGCACATACATATGCTTCAGATGTTTACAGGAAAGAGCTTTGTGAGTGGGAAATAAATAGCACTTTTACGGAAACCCACTCAGTTTAAGAGTTAAATTATTATATAGTTGACCATTCACTCTGGAGTTCAGCGTTTTTTCTTTTACCCTTGTTCTCATTTTCACGTGTGTTTACTGATTTATTTTGAGGCGGTGTCTCATGCAGTCCAGGCTGGCTCAAGGTTCCTATGTGGCTGAGGGTGACACTGAACTTGTGTTCCTCCTGCCTCCACCTCTCACGGGCTGGGGTCGGAGCATCAGTCCTGGTCAGGAGAGAAATGTGCGCACCGTGCCCTTGATGGCCCCCCTGCAGATGGGGCACTTCCTCAGGGAGGGAGCACAGTCTTTGCAAACGACCAGATGGCCACAGGGAATGAACACGATGGATACCTCTCTGTCCATACACACTTTACATGTTCTTTCTTCCTGTAGCTTCCGCAATTGTTCTTCCATCGGCAGAGCTATGAAGAGGGGGAGATTTTTGATTTTAAACACTGGGTCTCTCTGTGGAGCCCAGGTGACCTCAGACTTTGGTTCTCCCACATCCAATTTCCAAGTGCTGGTCACATGGCATGCGATGCCATGTGAGGCAAGAAAAAAGAATGTTTAATGGAAAGCAGTTTGCTTTTCCTCTAGTGAAATACCAATAAAATTAAACAGTGATCTTCGCAGGTTTAAAGTGTGTGTAGTACCCTTACCTGCAATGTCATCTGTGGGAGGACGCCTAAAGTCCTGTCGCACTGGGGGAGGAAAAGGGAAAGCATTACCATGGCAACCAAGGCTGGTTTTAGCTATTTGTTTTTGTTGATTCATTTTTGTAATGCAGGTGTTCAGACCCAGGGCCTGATGCAGTCATGCTAGGCCAACAGGCTCTCACTGAGCCAAATCCACAGCCCAGAGTGCACTGTTCAAATTTTTTATTTACCTAGTATTAATATTTATTTGAGACATAGAATTATTCTGTAACCCAAGCTGGTACTGAACTCATAATCTTCCTGCTTCAGCCTCATAAATGCTGGGATTACAGGTGTGTATTACTATGTCCAGCAGCAAATTTATTTATTTACTTGTGAGTGTGTGTGTGTGTGCATGTGCTCAGGATGCCACAGTGTGTATAATGAGATCAAAGGACGACTTTCAGGAACATTCTCTTTCCACTGTAGATTCTGGGGATCAAACTCAGGTCATTGGATTTGTGAAAGGCTTATGGTGTGGTGGTTGAAAGAAAATGGCTGCCGAAGGGTGTGGCGTTACTAAGAGGTGTGGCCTTGTTAGAGTAGGCGTGGTCTTGCTGGAGAAACTGTGTCACTGTGGAGGCAGGCTTTGAGGGCTCATGTATGCTCAAGTCACTCCCAGTGAGACAGACTGCTTCCTGTTGCCTGTGCAGGATGTAGGTCTCTCAGCTCCAGCACCATGTCTACCTGCACCCTGCCATGTCCCACCATGATGAGCCTCTGAACTGAAAACATTAAATGTTTTCCTTTCTAAGAGTTGCCATGGTCATAGCAATAGAAACCCTAATTAAGACAAGGGCAAGCACTTACCTGCTGAGCCATCTCACCAGCTCCCCCCAGCAGATTTTAAACACTTTACACTTTGAACAAAAGCTCATAATATTAACAACAACAAAAAAACAACCCTAATTTTTGTGCAATTAAAATTTATAAGTTGGGTTGAGTTACTTTCAACAATCCCTCCTAGAAAATTCCTCCAAATAATTTTCTAGCACTCACCAAATAAATCTTGGTATAGCACAGGGTCACTGTCCTGAAGGGAGTTTCTGAATGAGGCTGCTGCAGTGTTTCCTTTGGCTAACACAGTCTCAATCAGTGTTCTTGCTTGCAAGGTCTGCGGCTTCTGTTTGACAGCATCGCACTCCTGTTCAGTGATCGCCCTGGCACGTAGGAGACAGTCCAGGATTGGTGTCACACTCGTCAAATGTTGAAAAAGCACCATCTTGTTCTTCCGGATTAATGTTAGATCGTCTTTATGAAGAGAGAGAGAGGGTGGGGGGTAGAGGGAGAGAGAGACGGGGAGGCAGGTTCAAACTTGGTCACAAACTTCTTTCTGTACCTACAAAACCCGTGAATGAAATCATACATGTGTGTATGTATTTAAAGATCTCCTGCACCTCAGGTTGGCCTCCAATTTCACCATGGCATTAAACTTATGTTTTTTTCTGCCACTGCCTCCTGAGGGTCAGCTCTCCAGCCCAGTTTATGCGGTGCTAGGAATCAAACCCAGGGCTTTGTGCATGCTAGGCAGGCACTCTGCCAATCAAGCCATGTCCGTAGCCTGATGTTTACCTCCTCATTGTTGATGTTCTATTTTTTACTGTAAAGCGATATCCATAAAATGATGAATACTAATACGAGGGGTCTGAAAAATTATTGTAGGAGAGGCTGTTAGTTAGGTGCAGGAGAGGCGGTTAGTTAGGTGCAGGAGAGGCAGTTAGTTAGGTGCAGGAGAGGCGGTTAGTTAGGTGCAGGAGAGGCGGTTAGTTAGGTGCAGGAGAGGCGGTTAGTTAGGTGCAGGAGAGGCGGTTAGTTAGGTGCAGGAGAGGCGGTTAGTTAGGTGCAGGAGAGGCGGTTAGTTAGGTGCAGGAGAGGCGGTTAGTTAGGTGCAGGAGAGGCGGTTAGTTAGGTGCAGGAGAGGCGGTTAGTTAGGTGCAGGAGAGGCGGTTAGTTAGGTGCAGGAGAGGCGGTTAGTTAGGTGCAGGAGAGGCGGTTAGTTAGGTGTAGGAGAGGTGGTTAGGTGTATTCAGTTTGTCGCCAGGACACACATGGAACCATGTGAGGAAGGACAAAAGAAACGGCGCTTAGTTAAAAACGCAGTCCTACATGTGCTTTTGTTCCCGTGTCACCGGTTCTGTCTTTTCATGTAGCCCAGGCCAGCTCACACTGACCTCGTCGCCTTCAATCTCTCCTGTCCACCCGAAGGTGCTGCTGCTACAGCATGTGCACCATGCCTGGGGCTAAACACTGGTGTCCACGTGCCTGGCAAGTACTCCGCCAATCAGCTACACCACAAGCCCGGCTTGTTTTTGAGACAAGGTCCTAGTCTGCTCTAACCTAGGCTAGTCTGGAACTCACTTTGCAGCCCAGCACTTGGGAGGCTAAGGCAGAAGGTCATGAACTCAAGGCCAGCCTGGGCTACATAGCAAGACCCTGTCTCAAAAGTTAAAAGGCAAAAGAGTAACAGTCTGCTTTCTGGTCTGCGAAGCTCTGGTCCATGCTCAAAAAGGAGATCAGCGTGGCTTCAGTCTGCGCCAGAGTGAGGAGAGCAATCAGAACCAGAAGAGATCTGCACATGCCCAGGGGAAGGTGGTTCTGAGCACGGAACAGAGCGCAGGGTCACAAACACAGCTCACGTGATGGGTAACTGGCCCTGGGGGACGGGAAACAGACATTGTAAACTAAGACATTGTAGGGAAGACCTCTCTTGTGTGGGCAGGGAGGGGACTTAAATAGGAATCTGTGCATTAAGCCAGGCACGATGGTCCATGCCTGTCATCACAGCACTTGGGAGGTGGAGGAAGGAAAATCAGGATTCAACTACACAGCAAGTTCAAGGCCAATCTGAGCTACCTGAGAGAGCACTGGCTGTTCTGGCAGTGGACCTGACACACACATGTTGACTAACAATCTCTATAACTGCAGTTCTAGGAGATCCAACACTCTCTTCGAGCCTCCAAGGGCTCCTGCACACACAAGGTATACATAAAACTCACACAAATACACATAAATTTAAAAATTAATTAAAAATGTAAACATTGTAGTCTAAGACATACTATTATCCTAATATTCAAATTAATATTTCTCCTGGATCCCATCTCAATTTATGACAAAGGGGAATGATCTATCTTGGGATCAAGAATGTGCTGTGGGTCAATGAGACGGCTCAGTGCAGAAAACACTCAATGCAAAAGCTTAATGATGTGTCTTTGATACTTAGAACCCAAAGAGGGTGGAAAGAGAGTTCTGACCCCACTAGGGTGTCCTCTGTCTCTATGTGTCATGGCACGCGCACACACACACACACACACACACACACACACACACACACACACCCCTCTTCAAAATTGAGAACTGATTTGACATTATGTTGAAATCAAGCTCCTTAGTGCAAATTTTGCTTTTAAAGGGAAATATGAAGGCTAGGTAATTGAAAAGATCTATGTGCACATACAGAAAACAAAAATCACACACAGTGTGTGATTCTTTGGAGCTTTTAAAGGTTACATGGTACTCTAAAAAAAAAAAAAAAAAAAAAACCTGGTTCTTGTAACCTTGAAATCTGAAAGAAAAGTGTTAACGTTTACTCAACATACACATTTTTTTAGTATAATGAGTAATTCGGATGTTTTTAATAGTGTGTGTGTATGTGTGTGTGTGTCTGTGTCTGTGTCTGTGTCTCTGTGTGTACATGTGCTACAGCATGCGTACAGAGGTCTGAGGAAACCTGTGTGAGTCAAATCAGTTTTCTCCTTCCACCAAACAGGTTCTGGGGATCAAGCTCCAGTACTGCGATTCAGTAGGAAGCACCCTCCCCCCGAGCCATCTCCCCAGCCCTGCACAATGCACTTTATTCTTTTCAGAATCTGAATTCAGAATATAAAACATAAGACAGACCGGGCTGGCTGGATGAGCATCTTTTTGGAACTGGCGGAGGGTGACACTCGATCTCTCTGGAGAAGGGCCTTGTGAGCTCGTACCTGACTCTGTTTCCTCAGCTGCCTGCTCCTTCTGTTCCTCCCGTATCTCATCTTCTGCATCAAGCAAGCCTATCACGAGGTCGCCGACGGTCCTGTAAGTGTCCCCGGTGGCCAGGATGTGACGTTGAATGGTCTGTCTCACCAGGCTCCTGCTGAAGCCCATTTCCAAAGCCGCTCTAACCACAGCTGTGCTCATCATGACCGCATCTTCTGAACTTTCGCCAGGTCCGAAATGCACAACTGTATGAAAAAGGAGATTTAACAGACATCAGCAGTGACACATACCTTTGGTTGTGGCTGCTGTTTTGAGACTCCTTCTAGCCCAGTCCAGCCTCGAGCTTATTATGTAGCCCAGGCTGATCTCAAATTAATAGCAATTCTCCTACTGCAGCCTCCCAAGTGCAAGGATTACAGGCACAAACCAACATGCCTGGCTTCATAGACTTTTTAAATAGCAAGTTATTGCAATATCAAAACCATAAAATTGAAAAATACATAGGCACTACACTGTATGCAGGCTGCTAACTTTATTTGGTTTTGTTGTTGTTGTTTTATTTTGTTTTTCAAGACAGGGTTTCTCTGTGTAACTTTAGAGCCTGTCTTGGATCTCACTCTGTAGCCCAGGCTGGCCTTGAACTCACAGAGATCCACCTGGCTCTGCCTCCCGAGTGCTGGGATTAAAGGTGTGCACCACCATCGCCCGGCCTGTTTTGCTCTTTTAAGACAAGATCTCACTAGGTTACCAGGCTGGCCCTGAACTCACCCAGGCTGGCCCTGAACTCCCTGGAGGACCCTTGTGCCTTAGCCTTCCAAATGCTGAGATGGGAAGCGCTATGCAGACACATGTGCCACACCTGGCTTCCAGAAAGCCTTTTCTGATTCCCCAGACTTCACTGTTTCTCTTCACTTTCTCCTCCAGATCTTGGTCTCTTATCTGACCTTTCTTCTGTGCCCTAAAATCATTCGCTCATGAGAACAGGAGTTGTGTTTATCTTATTTCCTATTCTTTCTTTGGAACAACAACAACAAAAATCTACAATAAAAATGTATTGCATTGGGGCTAGAGAGATGGCTCAGCAGTTAAGAGCACTGGCTGCTTTCCCAGAGGACCCAGGTTCAATTCCCAGCACCCAAATTGCAGCTTACAACTGTCTATAACTTGAGTTCCAGGGGACATGACACCCTCACACAGATATGCATGCAGGCAAAACACCAATGCACATAAAATAAAAATAAATAAATTATTAAAATATATTGCCTTGAACACTAAAAAGCAGAGCCAAGCATCTGTTCAAATGTTTGCTCTATCGTCTTGGGTTTAAGTAACAGGCAAGTCACATTGGCAATCTGAGCCCTGGGGCCCCAGTGAAAGGACCAGAACACTGTGTTTCACCCTCTCTACGGACAGGAGGAGTATGCCAGCACCTGAAGGTACAGTATATTTGTTCCCACAATGGCCCAACAACAGGGTAAGGCTGAGTGTATGTAGTTTGTATAAAGTGTAGATGCCCAGGGCTATGGGTGGAGCTCAGCGAAAGAGGTTCACAGGACCATCAAAAACAAACAGCAGAAACAACTGGACATAGAAAGCCAAGACACAACCTACATACACTGATTCGGTCTATGAGGTCTGAAGCATAAACTAGACATCTGCACTGTCTTCTAAATGCTATCCAAGCAACTCGCTGTGCATTGAAGTTTGACAGACAGTAACAGGGTGTATTAATTATAAATTACAAATCAACATGAATGTGCATTTACCATTATAACCTTTCAGTCCTTTCTGTTTATTTTTAGGACAGGGTCTCAAGTAGTTCAACAGGGCCTTGAACATACAACCCTTCCACCTCTACCTCCCAAATGCTGGATTACAACCACACCCATCTTCACCTTCAATCTTAATACAAAATGGCTCACTTTAATGCACATTACACATACTTGGTGAGTCTTGGTTCTCATCTTCTGGGGTGTCTGACGTAGATAATAGCTACAGGAAAAAAAATGTACATGTTAAAATGTAAACTGCATCCCACCACTGTGCTGAAATGACCAACAGACCAGCTCTTTAACCTACTACAAACTCCCTTTGCCCGGTCAGAAGCAGTATTTCATTACATTCACCAGGAATTTGAATAATGAGGCTCTAAGCTAACAGCTTCCCCCACGGTGCTGCAGTGAGCAAAGCCTCCTCAGTAGGACAGGCTGGATTCAGGAGAGGCAGCGGGTTGGCCTTGCATCCGCAGCTTCCATTACCCTAGATATCTGCTGGGGTAGGTTACACTTGAATCGCTTCCTCTGGCCACGGCTGACGAGCTTTTGAGCCTCAGACTATGAAATAAGCTCTTATTTGGTTCTTCCAAAGAGTGATAACAAATGCTTTCTCAAATCATTTAAGAAAAATTTACAGAGTAAACTTTTCCCCTCAAATGTAATTTATTAATTGCTTCAGAGTTTAATTCATTGCTGGTTGATTAAACAAATGCTTAAAGAGAAACACAACGAACGCTGTCTTTCATGTGGCTAATAATTACAGATCTATTTTTCTCACAAGGGAGGTTCCTGGCATGATGATGTTGAGGTTTGTGAGAAAAGAGGAGAGGTAGTGTTTTAAAACAACTTTTACCTTTTCACTAAAATATTACTCTGTGATTTATTTTACAAATAAATTTTTAAAAATAACTTGTTGAATAATTAAATTTTTAAAAATAAATGAAAAGTTTCTCTGTTGGGAAGCAATAATTAAAAAGGGAAAAGAGACCTTCCCTACCTGTTCAAGTAGATGAGGGTACCCGGCTTGAACGTGGTCAACAAACTCTTGCCCTTTGATCCTTATCAAGTATTCACACCTGGAACGTAAACAATGACGCTGTGAGCGCTCCTCAGCAAGACCACTTTGTTACTGCCAGCTTCAGATGGACAGGTGCACTACAAGTCATCTTAGTATGCCCATTTTTATGATTAACACGTGACACGAAATGTAACGACAAACTCACGTCCAAGAGCTCGCCTCGTGTGAGCTCTGGTTACCCAGGCAACAGTCACTGACTCTGTCAGGCTCCTGAGGAGTAACTCTGCTTGTGCCTGTTTGCCTTGTGAAGTTTCTTAGAGGTTCATTGTTTTTTAGGTTTGTGTATATGTCTGTGTCTATGTGTGTGCATATGTGTGTGAATGCAGGGCCCACGGAGGTCCGAAGTATTTGGTCCTCCAAGAACCGAGATTACAGGTGGTTGTGAGCTGCCTGATATGGGTGCTGGGAACCAAGAGCGGCGACCACTGAGCCATCTCACTAGCCCTTTGTTAGTAAGGTGCTGTCTATTGAGGTTAGGGTGAATTTGATTGGCTTCTAGTACTTTTCATATACTTCGGCTGTTTTACAAAATTAGTTTATTACTTTATATTTTATAGTTTTATTAATCTAGCTCTCTGGAGGCTGGTAACTGTTTCTCACGAGCTTGAACACACACACGAGTGCCACACTGTGGACTTGGCACAGGGAGAAAGAAACCGCAGCCAAAGGCGGGTCAGCCGCCGTGCTGCCACTCAGTGGCGGCCATGAGGAGCCCTCAGCTACCATCCTCAAGCCCGGCTCACAGCGGGCTCCGCTCAGAGCGCCTCCCTGCTCTCTTCTAAGGTTCCTAAAAGTACCTGTAAGCAAACATGGAGGCAGAGAGGCCTCTACGTGAGCCATCCCATCGTGTCCGTGACAATCCTATGGGCTGAAAACATGCAAACAGACTTCAGGGAAAGGGTGGGACATTCAACACAGCCCCGCTACAGTGAGTTTGCCAATCCCTAGATAATGGAGATCCACTACTAAATGTAAGTACAACGTGAATCACTGCAGCACTGAAGCAGACTCAGGATTCTTCTTGTGTTTTTACAAACTACTGCAGTGGGGGCTGGCAAGATGGCCCAGTGGGCGCTTGCCACCAAGTCTGGTAACATGAGTTCAATCCCACAGGGTAGAAGAAGGAGAGAACGAGCCCTCAAAAGTTGTCCTCTGACCTCCATACCACACACACACATAAAACAAATAAATAAGTATATAAAAAATTAACTAGAGTAATAGAAAGCACTTAAAAATCTATGTGAATATTTTTTTCTTTTTTTGACTTTTCAAGGTAAATATTCTCTCTTTTTTTTTTTTTTTTTGGTTTTGGTTTTGGTTATTTGAGACAGGGTTTCTCTATGTAGTTTTGGTGCCTGCCCTGGATCTCGCTGTGTAGACCAGACTGGATTCAAACTCCCAGAGATCCACCTGGCTCTGCCTCCCGAGTGCTGGGATTAATGGCGTGTGCCACCACCACCCAGCATAAGGTAAATATTCTTTATAATCTTCATAATGTTTAAAATCTGAAGTAATAGGGCTAGAGAGATGACTTAGCAATTAAGAGCACTGGCTGTTCTTCCAGAGGATGCAGGTTTGATTCCCAGCTCCCACATGTTGGCTCAGAACCATCTTTAACTCCGGTCACAGAGGATCCAATGCCCTCTTCTGGCCTCTGCAGGCACTGCACACAATGGTGCACACATATATATATATATATATATATAGGCAGGCAAAACACTCACACACATCACAATGAAAGAGAATCTGTAGTACTTAGGAGGCAAAGGTGCTATAAGGGAAGCTAATATGTCTCATGAAAACCATAGAAGATGCAAAGGAGAATTTCAAAGCAGTTACCTGGGAAACCACTTGGCATGCTCCACCCAGGGGTCGTCTCCAGACTCCCAACACCTCAGCCCGCCATCACAGCAAAAGCACTTGACGTCATCGCTGTGCCCTAAAATGCATAAGTTTGAATCAAACTTATGAATACATAAAATTTGCACACTCATGTGTATAACGTAACACATGATGGATCTGTAAGAGTCTCAGATTAAGATTCTTACCTGTATAATAAAATCCTGCACTTGCAAGCTGCTGAGGAGGAACCAGAGCACTAGACGGCCAGTTAAAGAATGTTCTAACACGTGCTTCCTGTGTCTGCATGCTCACGTTAGAGACAGTATATCTCGAGGCTGACTGACTCCGATCTTTTAAGAATGGGCAGCTGGGGAAATGTCTCCGATGCTCTGACATAGCATCATCCTTCGGTTCCCAGTTGCTCAGTTTCCCACCACAGGCAAAGCAGGCCACCCTGTCTCCAGGCCCTATGTAATAGAAGCCGGCTCTGGCCAGGTCGGCCGGTGACAGAAAGGACAATGGCCATGTCTGATAGGTGAGTAATCTGGCCTTCTCTGTATTCATCGCGAAGTCGTAGGGACTTGTCCTCAAACTAGGACAATCTTGATTTGCTCTGAAGTTCGCAGGGTCTGAGGGAAAGCTTGAGTAAGAGCCACTGAAATAGCCAGTGTTCTCCAAACTTGCACATAATGAAGGCATGGTGCTCGGCGCTGCAGACGGAAGAGAAGGCTGAGGGCTGGCTTCCAGACTGTTGGCTGGACTCAGAGTGTGGACGAAGCTGCAGCTGGGGTACAGCTGCCTGTGCTTTTCAACAGGGCTGTCCCCTTGTTTCCAGTTGTCCAGCATCAGGCCACAGCAGAAGCACTTGACCTTGTCGTTGACGCCCGTGTAGTAAAAGCCAGCACGAGCCAGACTCCGTTCTGAGACAGGAACTCCAGCAGGGAAAGCTGAGTACGTGGACAAACGGTACAGCTCACATGAAAAGTCGTACTTCAACTCAAATGTGTCGGCACTCTTCATCAGCTTGGACAGGAGGACACTGTCTTGAACCAAGTTCATGACGAAACGATGGGGAGGGGAAGGGACCAGCCTTCCTCTGGGGAGGTAGTTTTGTGCATGGCTTTTGGTCAGTTTTACTACTAGGCTGAACACCTAAAATAAGAACAAACTCATTTTTTTCCTTCTATGTATTTTGGGATTCAGTAGGATGAGAGTGTAAATCCTACCCTGATACATTTTAAGGCACAATTACACACAACCACACCTTTGTACAATCTTCATGCACACAATAAAAACTAGATTCTACCTAACAGCCAATGTGTGACAGAAGTTTGGGCACTCTGTGCCAGGCGTCTTGGGGGCAAGCCTGCTTCTCTTTGCCAGGAGGATGCATGAGCGGCGTTCATGCAACCTGCACAAAAAGTCTGATTCATGACACTGTGCATTCATAGCGAGTGAAACGTGGTTCAGATGCGATTTAAAATAATAAACCACTTCAAGACTCTTGCTTGTTTTTTGTTTCCTTTCAAAGGACCAGGATCAGACTCACTCACTGATCCTGTACCTTTTTTGCTCATCTGCGCAGCACTGGGGATCGAGCCCAGGGCCTTGGGCTCACAAAGCCTGTGCGCCTTACCACGGAGTTACACAGCACATCTCAAACTTTGTGTTTTCTTTCTTTCGTTCTTTGTCTTTTTTTTTTTTGAGACAAAGTTTCTCTGTGTAACCCTGGCTGTCTTAGAACTCACTGTGTGTTAATATTCTGATATCATAACACTCTGTAGACCAGGCTGGCCTCAAACTCAGAGATTGGCCTGCCTCTGCCTCCTGAGTGCTGGGGTTAAAGGTGTGCACCACCACTACAGGCTTGTAACAAAAATTTTTAGTTTTGGTCAGAAATTATCTCACAGAGAGTGTTCACTGAGCACATATTTATCAAGACACAAAAAAATTCTATTACCATCTGAACAGCAGAGACCTTCAAATTGAGAATTTCTCACATAAGATTTACTAGCCGTTAGCAAATCCGTCTTATATCAAGGCCCCAGGGGTTTGCTGCCACTGGCTGATGTGGCTTCCTGCAGTTCCCAGAAACGCAGGTTCTCTACCAAGGACACCAACTCATCCTCTGCACAGTTGTCACCAGGAGTCTCCCTCAGGAGACTCTGTCTGACCTCACTGACCCTCCACAGGGCTATGAAAACTTGGTCGTTCTAGGACATTTCCTTCTGAGTAAACTGGTTCGTTTATCAGAACAATGCAGCTGCCGCCGTTCCCATGCCGCAGTCTATCTAAAAGACCTGCAGAGCAGAGCTTTAAAATGCCAACGGCCTTGCGGGTGGACAGTTTCTCAGCTCTCAAGCAATGTCTGTCTCACTTCCTCTGAACTTGCTGTGTGTCCCAGAACATTTTCTTCCTGTTTCTTCTCTGCCATTGTCGCAACCTCTCAGCATGCCAGCGACCTCATGAGCACACTTCTCTACTCCCGAGTAAGCCTGATTACTCATTTCCTCTGGATAACCGGCACTGTGTTTGGATCTTTCTTGAACAGGGGCACTTTTTTAAAAACTGCCAGCCAGTGGGAGACGGCCAGGCAACTTCAACACTGCCTGTCACAGAGCTCCTTCCCTTCCAGGCATCAAATTCACAACCAAACCATAAAAAGCACACCTCCGAGAACTAGACCACATGCTTCAAATGAGCATCTTGGGACAACAGTCCCGAAAGTCCACTTAGAAATTAATTTGTCTGTCCATGCACAAAACTACCTCCCAAGGTTAGGCTACGTCCCTTTTAAGGGTTTAGGCCTCCATTTTGAGATGTTTTGGTTTACAGAAGAAACTGAGAAAAAAAGCTACAAGTGGTAGAAGGTTTGTGTCCTTTGTCAACCTGTTTAAAATAGAGAAATTAAGGTCAAATAACTCATGGTATAACACAATGTCTTTTTTCTTCCTCTCTCCCCCACTCCCTCTTTCTGGAGCCTGGGACTTCCCTACGTAGTCTAAGACGGCCTCAAATTCATAATCTTCCTGTCGGCTTCCCAAATGGGAAGATAACAAGCAGGCGCCACCATGATCTTTTCCTTTCTCCAAAATGGAGACTGGTATGTAGCAAGAAGCTATGCTAATCTGGGCTGGAGGTGTGGCTCAGTGGTAGGGCACGTGGATAGCACACCCAAGGCCCCTGCCTCAGTCCCCAAAACCGAGAAAACAATGCTACACTGGACTTCAAGCCAAGAAATCTCACGCAGAACTCATGAGTCACAGACAGAGCTCATGGAGATACATATATAGAAATATATATGTGCATATACCTAGACATTAATTTATACTTGAAAAAAAACTTGCAGAGTTCACACACACTTTGCACTCAGCTTCCCAAAAATAACATCTTACATAACAACAGTACAATTAGAAAACTGGAGGGAAATCCCTTTTTATTCCCGACTGTAAGAGCAGCGAGTGGGGACTCTTAACCACTGGGCCAGCATCTCCATGCTCTTTGCAGTAATTTGTCATGAGTTACATACAATACTTTATTCTTCATGTGCCTTTTGTTTTGTTTTGTTTTTTGAGACAGATACTCACGCTACAGCTCGGGCCGGCCTGGTACTCAGTCTGTAGCCCAGGCTGGCCGCAAACTCACAGTAACATGCTGCCTGAACCTCCTGAGTTCTGAGGTTATAGGCATGAGCCACCAACTCAGCTTCTAATTGTTTTTATTAGAATTCCTAATGCAGGGGCTGGAGAGATGGCTCAGAGGTTAAGAACACTAGCTGCTCTTCCAGAGGTCCTGAGTTCAATTCCCAGCAACCACATGGTGGCTCACAACCATCTATAATGGGATCTGGTGCCCCCTTCTGGCATAAAGTTGTACATGCAGATAAAGCACTCATATACATAAAATAAGTAGATCTTTAGAAAAAAAAGAATTACTAATGCATATTGATTAAACAAATTAGTGGATCTGGTTGTGACATTTACACACTTGCATATGCTGTGCCTTGGTCCTTTCTTCGGCCCTCCGTTGCCCCTCCTACCTCTCCAGCCTTTTTTAGTAACAGTCCCTCTTCAGAGAAGTGAAGGCACGCTTGCCTTTAAACCTCTGCATTCTTTTGCTTAACACAATTTCCTGTTCCATCTATTTCTTCAGATGATACCTTTAATTCTCTTTACATCGGAACATTACTCCAGTGTCCACACACACACACTTTCTTTATCCATTTATCTGTCAACAGGCATTCAATTTGTCCCATTCGTGAACAGTGCAATAAACAGTGTGTGGTGGTCTGGATGAGAAGGGCCCCATAAGCTCACAGATCTGCGTGCCTGGTCTCCAGCTGGTGGACTGTTTAGGAAGGATTAGGAGGTGTGCCCTTGTTGGAGGAGGTGTGTCACTGGGCTGGGCTTTGAAGTTTCAAAAGCTCACACCAGGCCCAGGTTTTCTCTCTGCCTGCTGTCTGTGCATCAGGATGCACTCTCAGCTTCCTGCATCCTGTCACTCTTCCTGTCAGGATGATCATGGACTGAGCCTCTGGCACTGCAAGCAAGCCCTTGTTAAAAGCTTTCTTTCATAAATTGTCTTGGTCATGTCTCCTCACAGCAACAGTGCAATGATTACAACATGGGGTACTCAGGAATCTCTCCCAAGCTGTCCTACACTCCTCCACATGCCTACCAAGGAGGAGGCGAGCTGGGTCATATAGTAGTCGTGGTTTTGGTTTTCTGAAATGTTGCACTGATTTCCATAGACACTAGACTAGCTTCCCTTCCCAGCAACAGAGGGCTTGTTCTCTTCACATGCTGACCAGCATTTATAGAAAGGTCTTGAGCCCTCGGTCCCTTCCTCCAATTTCACTTTCTCATATTGACTCGATTGGCTCTGTTCTTCAGAAAAGAGGTGCAGCCCTCTGCCTGCCTGTGTTCACAAACCTATTGGCCACCTCAGAGAAACAACTGCCCCTCATGGACCTACCCTCTCCCACTGCTTTGACCAGACTCCGGTTCACTTCTCCTCAAACCCTGCACAAGCCTAGGCCTTCCACACAGTACTCATGCTGAGTCCCTGTCAGCTTCCAAATGAACACAGCCTGCTTCCTACTCCAGCCTCTCCTGGGGCAGGCCCTCCCTCCACAACCAAGCCAACAGAACATCTGTTTATGAATCACATCTCCACACAACCACAGTTAGTCCGTGTATCAACAGCCCTTCAAACACTCTCCATATTCATAACATCAAATCCACAGGAAGCCCTGGCATCTGCCACTGGGGCCTGCTTCCTCTTCAACATGTCCTGATCCGGGCCCTGTCCACATCAGTGTGTAGGAGTCCTCTTTCCTTTACAGTGGTTCCTTACAGATGAGCTTGGTGCTCCTGCCTCTGCTCTGCTTCCTCTACCAGTTCCAGTAGACCTGGAGGGCTGCTGGGTGTCCTCACCCTCTGGGGTGGTCAGCCTGATCACCTCTCTGACACGACAGAGTAAAGGTGTCTGTTTCCCTCTCCTTGGACTAGAGCTCCTTCAGAAAAGGATGTACGCTTTCATTTCTGTAGCAGCCACAGGACCTGGCAAAGACCCTGAGCCTTGCTGCTGTGGTGTGAGACATATACCCCAGGCTGGCTCTGCACTCCCAATCCTCCTGCCTCTACCTCCCAAGTGCTACGATTACAGGCCTGTGCTACGAATGCCACCAAAACTTCTTGTTGCAGAATTTCTCCGCACAGCTGGCAGAGCCACCGTGTCCCCAGCCCCTTCTTTTACTAAGGGCATTTCCCGTGACTGCTAACTTGGCAGTTTACTTCCAGGCTCTGGAATCAAACACCAAAGGGTTTCAAGAAAGGGTGTCAGTCCCTTTTACAAGGGACACCACCGCATGGCCAGACATACCTTTAATCCCAGCACTCCAGAGCAGAGGCGGGTAGATATCAATGTTTCATTGAGTTCAAAGCCTGTTCTACTTACACAGTTCCAGGCCAGCCAGGGACACACAGTGAGGCCCAGAAAAACCACGTGTGTCTCAGTTTCCTCGGTGCAGAATGGAGATAATAACGGCACCCACTTCTTACAATTGATGATTAAATGTAAAATATATGTCTAAGTCTTCAGGGCGGAACTTGGCATGCGGTAGATAGAGAAATGACTACAGCCATTTACTGACTAGATTAAGAGCGTTGTTGAGAAACTGGGTGCAGCAACTCAGACCTGCAAGTCCAGCACTCAAGGGGTTAAGGCTGGAGGATTTTCCAGAGTCCAAAGCCTGTCTCAGCTATAGTGTGAGGCCAGTCTCCAACGTACATCACTTCCCCAAAAGGAAGAGCCCTAGTGTTTTTCCAAGCTGATCACTAAAACAACCACTCCAACCTGAGCTTCCCCAAGCTGTTCCTGTTCTCACTGTATCAAGTCCCCCTGATGCCTCTTGAAGAGTCGAATTAAAATTCCAAGGCCTCACTCAGAAAGGAGACAGACCTTGAGCTCCAGGAAGGCGTGAGGATGGGCAGCCAGGGTCAGTGGGGACAGCTGCAAGTCACCCTCCCGCAGGACCCGAGGTGCACGGCAGCCGGTTTTGCAGGCCACCCCTGGGGCCACCTCGGGGACCCTCACCCGCTCTCCACGCGCGCGTACTCACCGCAGCCCGCTCCCCAGGCTCCACACGCCAGCAAGGACGCCGATCTCCGGGGTGGCACCAGTCGCCTGGCCTGTGGGGTGCGGCTGAGAGTCACGACGCCTTTAAGTGGTGCCCGCCTGGCCTCGCCCACCGCCCCCACCCTGCCCCGCCCAGGCTGCGGCAGCCGCCGCCCGCCCGCCCGCTCGCCCGCCCGCTCGCCCGCGGTGCTTTCCTCTGAGACTCCGGGGAACTCCAGGGTGAAAACCACACGCACTTCCTCCTCACCCGCCGTGGCAACCCCGGCCGGCCGGGGATTTCCGTGGCCCTTCGGTGCGTGACTTCCTGGGCCCAGTTGGTCCGCGTGGCGTTTACTGAAAGTTCTGACTTCTTGGTGGCCAGGTCATTGGAAGCCTTGAAAACAGATGTGCAGCTTATGGGTCCGCATGCCTGGAAGAGGCCCTGCCCCCGCCTGCAGCCTCCAAGTCCTTCACAGTGAAAAAAAGGCCACAACTTTCCAGTCTACAACTGCTGAAGCTAAAAGGGAAAAAAAAAAACATGTAACTCTGGTTATTTTCACTTTTTGTTTTGGTCAAGAAAGAGATGAACATTTTTTAAAAACCATGTAGATCTCTTGTTCAGTTTATTTTTATTGTTTTAAAGATCAGAACTAGAGCTGCAGGTAGTAGCTAATGCCTTTAATCCCAGCCCTGGGAAGGCTGAGGCAGGAGGATCCCTGTGACTCCAGGTCAGCCTGGGCTACACAGTGAGACTTTGTTTTAAAGAGGTTAGAACTATGTTAGTTCTTGTATTTGAAAGGATTGTTTGGGGGCGGGAGACACTGCTAAGCAGTTGCTGCTCTTGCAGAGGTTTGGACTTCTGTTCCCAGCATCCATAGGCGGCTCACAGTCTCATGTGACTCCAGTTCCGGGGGTGGGGGGGTGTCCAACGCCCTCTTCTGGCCACCACAGGCACTGCACCTGCATGCGCACAGGCATGAAGCTGAACAAACATACTCTTTTTGGGAGGGGAGGATTTCGAGACAAGATTTCTCTGTGTATCCCTGGCTGTCCTGTAACTCTCTCTGTACATCAGGCTGGCCTCGAACTCAGAGATCCACCTTCCTCTGTCTCCCAAGTGCTGGGATTAAAGGCATGTGCCACCACCCAACCATACTTTCAAACAAACAAACAAAAAACTGTTTTGATCTGTTTTAGTGGTTATTTTCTTGTATTTTTGTTTCGTTTTGCCTTGCTGTTCTTTGTTTTATAAACAGGATGAATAGATCTAGAAAAACCAAGTTCTTTCCTTTAGCTTTTTCTCTTATAAGAGATGAGCTACGCTGCATCAGTGCTCTAGAAAAAAACTTAACTTTTGTAGTCTAACTCATCTGTCTTCTTCCATTTTCAGCGGGTTAGCAGCAAACTTAAGCAGCTTTACTCTAAGGGTGAGGGACCCATCTTCATTCTAGGAATAGGATGCTGTATTGTGGGCTCAGCTGAGGCTGAGTGGTGGGGTGGTGGTGGTGGCTGCCTCTGACCGCACCGTTCCCACTGGAAGTCTACCAGAGATCCTGTTTGTCAGTCACATGGAGAGTTGCATCTACCTTTGAGCCTCTTTTTGAGGGCAGAATCACATCATCAGTCTCCCTTGCAACGTTTGCACATTTTATTGCTGACTTTTTTTTTAGTTATTAAGCAAGGTGTGGCTCTAAGCCTGTGAGCAGGACTTGATAAGCTGGAGCAGAAGACAGCTGTGGCCTCAAAGGCCACCTAGGTTACATAATGAAGTCCAGGACAACCTGGACAAGAGTTAGACTATTCCTCAAAATTGATGATAAGAATTAAAGTTATTTTCTGGATAAACTCTAACTTGCATATGGGCAGGGACAGTATGTCTTTTATTCGATGCTTTATTCTAGCACCAGCAGGATGCTTGCACATGATAGGTGCTTAGTATCTTGATAAAAACTGAGCCAACCAATCCTCTGGGTTTTCTCCATTCTCAACTTGCATTCAGACCTTTAAGAGTAGAGCTCTTCTACTATTGATACTCCAAATGTATTTGCTCACTAAATAGCCATCTAAAGTCATTATTAACTTATTTTTATGGGTATGTGTACACACGGTAGTGCAATGCTTACATGGGCCAGAAGGGTCAGCAGACGCCCCGGAACTGAAGTGACAGAGGTACCGCAAGTGCTGTGTCCCCGCAAGAGCAGGCACTTGAGTTTCTAGCCATCTTTCCAGCTAAAATAGGCTTTTCAAGCAGGACTTATTAAGGAAACATTTGAATAAAGAAGAAAGGTAGCCGGGCAGTGGTGGCGCACGCCTTTAATCCCAGCACTTGGGAGGCAGAGGCAGGTGGATCTCTGTGAGTTCAAGGCCAGCCTGGTCTACAGAGGGAGTTCCAGGACAGCCAGGGCTACACAGTGAGACCCTGTCTCGACAAAACCGGAGGAGGAGAAGGAGGAGAAGGAGGAGGAGGAGGAGAGTAGACACAAAACCATTGTTTTCTCTGCTCAGTTTTCCTCTGCCATCAGTACCAAGCCAGCTGAGAGTGACAGGGACCGCAGACCTGGCTGACACACTGCGATGCATTCTCAGTATCTTATTAAATCATCAAATGTATTTTCCCTCAAAGGCCATCACAATTTCTTCCTAAGTAAGAATTTCACATCAAAAAATACTATAGCCGGGTGGTGGTGGCGCACGCCTTTAATCCCAGCACTCGGGAGGCAGAGGCCGGCGGATCTCTGTGAGTTCGAGGCCAGCCTGGGCTACCAAGTGAGTTCCAGGAAAGGCGCAAAGCTACACAGAGAAACCCTGTCTCGAGAAACCAAAAAAAAATACTATAAAAACTTTGCTCAACCTTTCCCAACTGTAACTTTTAAAGTTTTAACTATTTTATTTTATTTTATTTTATTTTATTTTATTTTATTTTATTTTATTTTATTTTATATTTTATTTTATTTTATTTTATTTTTTTATTTTATTTTATTTTATTTTATTTTATTTTTTTATTTTATTTTATTTTATTTTTTTTATTTTATTTTATTTTATTTTTTTTATTTTATTTTATTTTATTTTATTTTATTTTATTATTTTATTTTATTTTATTTTATTTTATTTTATTTTATTTTATTTATTTTATTTTATTGAGACAGGGTCTTCTCTACATAGCCCTGGTCATCCTGGAACTCTACATAGACCAGGCTGACCTCAGGCTCACAGAGATCCACCTGCCTCCACCTCTCAAGTTCTGGGATTGTTTTTTTTATATACAAAGATTCTAACCAAGAGCTTAGAATCAAAAATGAGGATAAAATCCAACTGGAGCCATGCCACCCTGGCTCCAAAGTAAGTGACAGGGATTTCCTGGGTTAGTGACAATTTTATGATGTCCTGTACACAACCAGGGTCAGGCACAGTGGCGCGCCTTTAGTACCATCACTCGAGAGGCAGAGGCAGGTGGATCTCTGGGAGTTCGAGGCCAGCCTGGCCTACACAGCAAGTTCCAGGCCAGTCAGAGCTGTATCGTGAGACCCTGTCTCAAAAATAAACAAATAGATAAATATAACCAGACCAGTTTTAACAAAGTCCTCATAAAGCTCCAATTGAGAAAAAAACATTATTTAATATTAATATCAATAATCTGTAATGATGAAATTTGCCCCTTATAAATTGCAGCTTACTTTAATCCTAATGACACTATAATGAAATAAGGTTTATCTGGCATCAAAACACATGTTTTTATATTACATTTATTTATTTATTTATTTATTTATTTATTTATTATGTGGATGTGTGTGCATGCCACAGCACATACATGTGAAAGGACATTTTGTGGGGGTTGGTTCTCTCCTCCCACCATGTGGGTACCAGGGAATTGAACTCAGGCCACTAGGTTTGATAGTGCTATCAAGTGATATCAAGTGATAGATAATGATATATGAGCCATCTCCCTGATCTAAGGTACAGAGTCTTTAAGTGTACACCTCCACAGTTTGTTTGTTTTTTATTTCTAATAGGGTTTTATGCAGTCCAGACTGGCCTTGAATCTTTGATCCTCCTGCTTCCTCCTCTTGAGTTCTGGGACTATAGGTGTGCACCACTGCTGTGGGCCGCAGGAATATATCATAAGAACTCAGCTGGTTATGGCAAAGTCACTACCTGGAGGGATCAGGGAATTCCTCCAGAGGAAGCCAAATTCCAAGGAGCTTTTGGTGTTGCTTGGCTTGTTATATATCAGCTGTCTTCTGTTATGAAAATCATGTGTGCCTTCATAGTTTTCCCAATTGATTTTTCCCTAAGAAGTGCTAACAGTGTGGACTGATCACTCTCTGGACATACACAGTCCAGGTATTTGGAGAACAGCCTCAGGAAAGGCTTCCTTCCCCCCAGCCCATCCGTTTCTCCCCTTTCAGCACTGGAATCAGATATCTCCCTTAGCCACTTTCAAGGACTAACAGAAATAACAGTCCACATGCTAGTCTCCTGATTTAAGGTAAATTCCACAAGGAGATGCCGCCTAGGTCAGGTGGACCTTAAGTAATAGCTTTACACAATTTAGCTCGGACCCTCCTTTTCTTACAGCCTTACTAACTTTATAGACCCCTAACTTCTTACCTAACTGCTGTGGATATCGCTCTGTATAAATAAAATGCTGATTGGCCGGTAGCCAGGCAGGAAGTACAGGCGGGACAAGCAGAGAAGAGAATTCTGGGAACAGGAAGGCTGAGTCAGGAGACACTGCCAGCCACCGCCATGAGTACCAACATGTAAGATACTGGTAAGCCACAAGCCATGTGGCAAGGTATAGATTTATAGAAATGGGTTAATTTGCCGGGTGGTGGTGGCGCACGCCTTTAATCCCAGCACTCGGGAGGCAGAGCCAGGCGGATCTCTGTGAGTTCGAGGCCAGCCTGGGCTACCAAGTGAGTTCCAGGAAAAGCGTAAAGCTACACAGAGAAACCCTGTCTTGAAAAACCAAAAAAAAAAGGGGGGGGGTTAATTTAAGATATAAGAACTAGACAGCTAGAAGCCCGAGCCATTAGGCCAAACAGTTTAAATAATATAAGAGTCTGTGTGTTTATTTTATAAGTGGGCTGCGGGACTGCTGGGGTTTGGCGGGAGCTGGAGAGAAACTCTCTAGC